AAAGCGTTCTTCTTCTCCTCCCATTCTTGCACATGATTCTCTTTTCTTCGCTATCGCACCATAGGTATCCTATAGTAGTTGCTAACGTTGTCCGCAATTGTTATCATAAACCAGAGATGACAGATCGCCAGAAGAGAACACATCCTTTATTTATATCGAGTATTGGTTAAGAAAAAAGACTCTCGGACTTGTCACGTCATATTTTTACTGCAGATGTGGCTACTGCTAGTTTTACTGCAGATGTTGCAAAATCAAAAATAAAAGGATATCAATAACATATGGATTATAAATGATCGGAAGTTAAAAAGATTTTGCACGTCAACTTTGGAATATTTAAATAAGTAATATATTCTCGCTTTTATTTCAGAGATTTGCCTGTGATAATGAGAAAGATATATCTTACTTTTCAAGCGGACCTGACATTAATTAAAAGGTGAAATTAATTAAAATGGTAGATAGATTATTTACACTCATAAAGTTTAATAACTGTCGTTACGAAGTAATTCCGTAATTTCCAATTAAATTCTTATTGATAAAAACTTGATTCCGCCGTTTACAAAGTACAGTGACGACACATCTTTGATATTAGTATTTAAATGTGTATCGCGGTTCTAATTAATCATCTCAATTAAATGGTAATTTGAATTATACTTTTAAATAAAATATGTATCCTGCGATAACATATTATAGAAAAGAGAATGAGAGGAAAAAAGACAAAATAAAAAAAGGCTGTTTTTTAGAAGATAAAGAAATAAGATGGGACATTGTCACTTCCGAAGAAATATCGTCGGATAGATCCTTTATGAGAGAGCGTCCATTAAGCAAGAGGCCGCGGATTACGCGAACATAAAGTGTCATACATATTCATAACAACCACCCTGACGGAATATATTACATGTATATAAAATATCCATTGCGAATACTTATGAAACCCACTTCCGTAAATAAATATATAAATTACAAATAATTATAAATTATAAATAAACCAATGGAAAATTAAAATAAATTTATATTTATATGTTTATATTAACTATAGTTTTAGAAAATTAAAAATAAAATTATCAAACTGTTATTTTGATAGTTATATTTTACATTATGTTCTATTATTCCGTTAATTGTCAAAAAATTTTATCGTAACAAAATAACAAATAATCAAAAAACATCTATCTAAAATACGTCTCTCAAATCACATTGTTTTTGAAAAATTTGGACTCTTAACACTTCGGTGCCGTGTTGAAACTTAATTCTTCTGCGATTCTTCAGCTCTTGATATTTCTCGAAACCGCCGATCTGTAGAAGGTGATCAATGAGATAGACTTCGGTAGCTTTGCTTTCGAAAAACGTTCAACGATCAAAACTTACCAAATGGGATGGAACGGATTTTGCCTCGCGCTGATCATCTTGAAAGAGTAAAAAAAAAGCCGAATGTAACGGCGGTCGCTGGGTCAGCGCGCCCGGCTTTTTCCAGACTTTATGAGCAAAAGGAACGACGATCGTACCGCCTCGTCGCCGTGCATAAGGGGACCGTAGGTCCAGTCCCGCACTGAGACAAGAAGCTTCCGCGCGCCGCATTTTCTTGCGTATCGACATACATTGGTAACGCGTGCCTCTATCACCCTCTCGGCGGCCATCTGCCGTGTCCGGTAGCTTCCATCGAGCAATCGAATCGGCAAAGACTGCGGTTGTATCGTTGCGTTGGTTGTTATGGAAGAGAAAAGGAACAAAATAGTCGAAAGAAAGATTGGGAGAGAAAGAGAGAGAGAGAGAGAGAGAGAAAGAGATGAAGAAGAGAAAATATCATATCTCAATGATATTAGTAGAAGCAATGAAAGCTGGGTAGCAGCTGACTGATCACCCTTTTTGCTTGAAGACAAATCGAGGATACATACATGTAATGATTCTTGACTAATGCCTGCTTTTCCATTCAGAACTGTGCTGTGTGAAATATTGAAATGTTTGATATCCATACTGTTTGATGTTCGTAACCTTGAAGGCTCTCTGAGGCTTCTAGACTTCGACAACGTCGCGATTTGAAGCTTTAAAATTTGACATCCTAAAAAACAGAATTTGCGTACAAAAACATGTTCAAATCTTCCCCTTTCGCGATTCC